CTCAAAGTATTACCAATAATAATTCAATTACCATATCTCTTATATCTCACATCTACCATCATATATTCACGTCAGTTTCAAAAATCTGGACTGATCAATGCAAACTCTTCGCTAAAGCAGAAAAACTGGCTAATATTACTTTACAACACAAAAAGAAAAATTGGATCTCTAGTGACTTTCCTCACATCCCTACAACTCCTTCACTTATTTTCACATCACTTATTTCTTCCTTTAGATATGATAATGACTGGTCAAATTTTTGGACAGGTAATAACCACACTCTTTCATCTGGATAGTTAAGTTTCCTTTTCTCTTAATTGGGTTATTAATCTAGAACAATGCAGGGTTGACTTTGATTTGTTTTAACTAGTTTAGAATATTTAGAAGTTTTTGTATTTTCTTTTCTTATCTTGTATTTTATTTATATTTTACTCACATTTAAATAAAGATCATGCGAAGCTACTGCACTTAAAAAAAAAATAAATGCTGCGTCTGACTTTCAGGGTGGCATTTTAATATAAAAAATTAATAAAATTAATTTTTTTATTAATAAATGCCGCATTTGACTTTTAGGGCGGCATTTTATTATTAAACATTAATTTTTTTAATAATAAATATCACCTCCGACTTTCAGGACAGCATTTTGTTATTAAAAATTGATAAAAATTAATTTTTAATAATAAATGCTGTGCCTGACTTTCGGGGTGACATTTTATTATTAAAAATTAAATTTTTAATAATAAATGCCGCGTTTGACTTCAGAGCGGCATTTTTTATTTCAAATCCAACAAATCGGATCCAAATCCAAATCCAAATCTGATGAATCAAATCTGAATTCAAATCCAAATCCGTCAGATTGAATTAAATCCAAATCTAAATCCAAATCTGATCCAGATCTGACAGATCGAATCAAATCAAAATCTGAATTCGAATCTGATTCAATCTGATCTGTCAGATCCAGATCAGATTCTGATTGAATCAGATTTTTTGCAGAATTCTAGTAGTATTTCACAATCAAATTCTAGATGATAGACACATAGAAAGGAAAAGTAATTATTTTTCAAAATTGATTCCTTTATTACTTGAAATTTACAAGTGTTTTAGAACTTATAAGAGAATTAAAAATTCGTAAATGAGTTTTTTCAAGCAAAAAGCGATTCTATTTATACAAAATTAATTTATTATGTCTAATTAGTTACTATACTATAAACTAACTATATTTTTAAATACAAATGCTAACTAATATAATAATAATAATAATAAAGATAATAGCTATAATTATACATGAAGTCGAAATGAAAACCCAAAAGTCGAAATGTTTCGACTTTGGAGGTCAAAGTCGAAATGAAAAGTCGAAATGGTCGAAATTACGTCATATCACATGATTTTTTATATATAGAAAAAACAAAAAAAAACAAAAGATATACGATCTCGGTCAATATCGTACTGATTCGTATAAAATAACTACCATTCGATTTTCCGCGACTAAACGAATCCAATGAGCTAACATTTATTGATTTTGGATTATCCCATCTCGAGATATTTGCGATCATATTTCGAAATCCAGATTTCTTTATTTAAAGTAGAATTTATTGATTCATAATTTCGGCCGATTATACAATTGCGATTATCTCGTGATTGGATGATCCAAAATCAATAAATGTTAGCTCATTGGATTTGTCCAGTTGCAGGAAATCGAATGGTTTTTTTTTGCGTTTTAACAATGCAGTACTATCATAAGTTTATTAAAATTTTACATTGTATACTAAATAAAAATTACAAAGAAGAATTACAAAGTAGGTAAAAAAAACTAAACTATGACTATCTCCCATGGTTCTATTGCTAATAAAAGCTCAAACTCGTTTAGATCGACTGATCACTGGAATCCCTCTCCAACCTAATCAAGAAATCAATATTTAATAATTAAGCCGTTAAAAAGAAATTCAAATGAGGTTGTCAATACAGCAACATAATTTCTAAATGCCTTTCGATCTCAACTTCTAAATAAAATTTTAAAACTAACAACCCTCCTAAAAAGGGAAATAGGTACAAATAGAAATTATTAAAAAAGGCAACACAACTCTATATAAACCTAAATGTCCAGTTAATTCCGGATAAACAACCATCCGACCAAAGAGGGTGCTTCTAAAGAAAGATCTAAACAGAGGCTCTTTATACTTGTAGATTCACAAGTATGGAAAAAATATCACACGGAATCCACTATGAGAATCCTATAATGAAGCAACAGATAGTAACCTATACCCTTTACCTGGTTACCAGAAAGGAACGGATCTAGACGAAGCAGACTTATACTGAGTAAGCAAATGGCAATGACCACCCAGAGTTCCATTTAAAACTACGGTAGGCCGACAAAATACAAACCAAGTGGTAGCTACTATCACACTGTATAGAAGTCCTCATGAAGAAACAAAATAATAATTTACGCTAAATTTGCACATGATCTTTGACGACAGAGGATTTGCAGAAATGCAAAGGCTAATCAAAAAAGAGTGTATTATTTAGAAAAGGGAAAGGTGTCATCACGTGAAATTTGTTTATCCAAAGTATGTCGATCATGATTATCGGTTAGGATACCTCTTGATGCCTACTTTTTAGTAAGCAAAAAAGAAAAAGAGAAAAACGAAAATAATTTTTCGAAAAAAGGTGAAGAAAAAATATTTTAACAAAAAACAACACTGTTTAGGCTATTTCGAAAAATTTTATGTAGATAGGGGTCTGAGAAACAAAGCGAGGAATATTTTTGAAAGGTGGAGTTTTTTAGTTTATTTACAGGCTAAGCCGTGGCCGCCGTTAAACGGGTACTTTTTTAAGTAAAAATTTTTGGAAAAAATCCAATGAGGAAAAGTGAGGAATGGGGAAATTGAATGGTAGTTGTTTCATACGAATCGGTGTGATATTGACCGAGATCGTATATCTTTTATTTTTTTTTGTTTTTTTCATATATAAAAATCATGTGATATGACGTCATTTCGACTATTTCGCGACTTTAGCCTCTAATGGTCGAAATGATTTTGACTATTTCGACCATTTCGGATATCCAAAATGATCCATTTCGACTTCATGTATAGTTAGTATATAAGCCTATCAGTTTAGTAATAAATAAATTCTTATAAAAATTATTTAGTTTTATATATTGCATGACATCTGAAGTAAAGATAGTCCCTATAATTATTTTCAAATTTTAATTGAGTTACAACTTAATTGTGCCATAAGGAAATTTAATTGCATCACAAGTTGTAACTCAATTGCATCATTTTTTTTAATTATAGTGACTATCTTTAATCTGAACTAATAGTTTGTTATTATGTAATGAAACTTTAGCTTATAGAAGACTTACAGTTTTATCACTGAGTCAGGGTTTGCATTTTCTAAAAATTAGCTAATTAGATAAGGTATGAGGTAGGTTCTGCAATCAGATGTCACAATATTTCTTTTATAGTAATAATTTATTTTTTATAATAAATAATAATTTTACTATTTATTTATTAAATTATTTCAATTATCTTAGTATTTAGTAATCTAATTTTTTTATTTGATAGAATTTAAAAAGGCCTGCTTATAAACCAAAAAAAAGTTCATATATATTGGATTACTGGATGGCAAAATATTTGCATAATTATATTATTTTTATATATTAATATTTAACCAATCAGAATTCGGTGGAGATTAGACTACTAATTAATAAATGAGACCAGACCTTAACTGCTACTTCGACAATTGTTAATATTTCAAGAAATAAGTTTCTAAATAATATTTTCTTAATTGACATAACTGATACAATTCTGATTGTTCTAGTTAATAATATTCCAGTTGATAATATTTTAGTATAAAGTCAACAATTTCATAATTTATGATGCAGCAATAAATATAACAATGATCAATAAAAGAATAATAAAAATCACAATTAAAATCATGTGATAAAAAACAAATTAAAAGAAAGAAGAATACACAGATAAATTACAAACTGAAAAGAAAAATTATATAAGATGAATAAATTACAGAATGAAATAATTCAGATAAATTAGTTATTAAAAGAAAATAGATAATTTAAGAATTGAACAGAGAGTCAAGAAGTCAGAAGTCAATCAATGGAAAAGAATGGGATAAATTTGAGAATTGACTAAAATTTAAAGTGTTGAACAGTTTTTTTCTTTTAAATGTATAAAATATATAACAGTTGAATAAAATTTTTTGCTTTTTACGCATAAATGATAAGTAAAAAGTGTCCAATAGAATTTATGCGTTATGGATGATCTGTTAATTGGATCACTACGATTTTTCCCTTTTTTTTCGGCCATACTGTAGGGCTCAAAAGATAACCTAATCACATTGTTTTTATCTGAAACTTTTAATCTTTTTTTTGAATGAATATGAGAAAAAAAAAGGATTAGTGATGAGCTTACCCATTCCATTGCCTTGCGCTGATTATTTTTCGACTTAGCCATTATCTGATTAATTAATCTGTGAATAAAAAAAATAACTGAATATTATCGCGCCTGAAAAAATCATGTGTTTGTTACTCCGCTATCTTTATCTGATACTGGAGCATTGAGATGATTCCTTGAAAAATTCAGCAATAAATATCTTTATACATTTTTGCTTTGCTCGTTTTAATACGTTCACTATGGCTGTGTCCAATTTTTTGATCAACACATAATTTTTGCACCGGATGCGAAAATCCCGAAAAACTGACTGGCGTTGTGCATTTTTCTATTCAAAATTTCGGGATTTGAAACGGATCTCGTTCCATGCGATTCTTCTTTTTATTAAATATATTAATTTGATATATAACGATATAAAACAGAATGAGATAAATGAGAGTAATGAACGTCCTTTTTTCAAGACATATAAAGCGATGAAAATAAGATTCCTCTAACTTTCCCACTATATATCGGTGTATTCAATTCTTCTAATCAATTTTCTAAAAAATACGTTACCTTATCGAAATCAATTTTCTAAAATACGTTATCTTATCGAAAATGATCAAGAAATATATACTATGTATATTGGCTGTATTGATAACCATAACGAATTCAAGTTATGCGTTTCCAGCAGATTCTAAACCCATGAGTAAAAGAGCAACATTGGTACCTACGAGTGTGACATTTAAAATTTCATCAGAAGTAGGAACGAGTAATACAACAAAAATTTCTGTTGACGATGTTAATAATTTAAATGCCGTCGGAAAATTAGATATTGTAAAAAATGACGGATCAAACGATTGTTGTACCGCCTCTGTAATTAGAACTGATAATGGAAATATTGCGATTACCGCTGCACATTGTCTTTTTGATTTTAACACTCAGACATGGAATTCTGAAGTTTATTTTTATCCTGGGTACAACCATGGACAACAAGGTAATATTGGAAAAGTTGCCGCTAAATCAGGCTATATATACGATATTTTTAAGGACAATCCTGCTCTGTCTGATTATGCCTTTATAAAGCTTGATTACCCGGAAGGAAGAAAATTACAAGATGATACAGGAGCTTTCGATTATGATCTCGATATACCTGGTGATATTTATCCAGTTAATGTATTTGGTTATCCAGTTGATGGTGACATGAACTGTCCCAAAGATGGACAAAATCTTTGCGATTACGAAGGACTTTCATATGATATGCCAAATGAAGTTCCAATTAAGTCGTATAGAGGTATAACTATAGACGTTGGTCATTGCTCAAGTGGGGGTCCTTGGGTAAGAATTTATGATCCAAATACTAACTCAGGCAATGTAATGGGTGTCTCACAAGGTATATTAGATTTGCCTTATCCTGATGAAACCGTCGCTTGGTCATGGACTCGCGATGAATTTACACAGATTTTGAACTTTGCTGAAACTAATTAATAGGAATTTAAATATACAATAATATAATTTTATAATTCTGTCGAGTAATTTTTTTTAGCTACCTATTTCTCTTTTACCAAATTTACATGAGTAACTATATTAATTTACAACCAGTATTTAAACTCATATCAATCCTTTTTATATCATATTTCTACTCGCTACTGTCTGTATTAATGAAGTTTTTTATAAAGATAACTTCTTTTCAAATATTTTTTATTCATATTTAACTTCATAACCTATTCCATCTTATTTGTTTTAAACTTTTAATTATATAATTTCTTTAAAAATGTAAAAAAATGATCATAAAACACTAGTTTTTAGCGATTAATGTAGACAATTAGATAAAATTAATTACAAATACTTTTATTAAAGAAAACAACAAATTATCTAATAAATTGATACAAGTATAAACTTGTCTTACCAGTAATTATTTGTTAATTCAATAAATCTATTATTATATTCTAATAGTTGAACAAAAAATTATTTAAAATAGCCATCAAATAATTTTATTTCCTAAATATTAGAATTTAAGTAACTTCACGGTAATCTCTGATAACCCGTGAAGTTATGGTATAATTATTCAGCCCCCTAATTATTATAAATAATTTTATTCTTTACTGTCCTTTTTTTACAATATTTATCCTTTAATGTTATATGCGCAAATGTTGCTAAATCAATTTATATAAAAATGAGCAAGAAGCAATCCAACAATAAACAAGAAATAAAAAAATAATCATAAACTAGAAGTAAACAACGTAAACAACAGAATGAATTTATTGAATACTTTAGTAGATTTAATTTCGTTATCATTTATCGGTCTAAATGTATATGATCATATCAAACTTATTCATTTATAAAGTCTTTAGATGCTATGCACATTTAATTATACATTTATATATCAATATTAAAACTATTATATTCATTTATATACATTTAATAATTTTTCATTTAAAATACTAGTAAATAGAATAATATAATATTATTAAAGTAAATATTATATTATTAATAGTTTAAATTGTAATATCATGATCATAGTTTAAACAAACTCTCTATGAGACAAATTGTTCTATGATCAAAGTATAATAATCATATGCAGCCATGTAATACTTCTATAAATTATACAATTTAAAATATAAATTATATTATTTTCGTATTTATCATAAAAATCTAATTAATCACAGTGTTTTAAAGTATAGTCAAAACTATACATGAAGTTGAAATGAAACACAAAAGTTGAAATGAAGGTCTAAATAACATCATATCACATAATTTTTCATATATAATAGATCAAAAAACAAATAATATATGATTTTGATCAATATCACACAAATTCTTATGAAATAACTACCATTCAATTCCTCACAATTTGACAGATTTAATGAGCTATATATCATTGATTTCAGATCATCAAATCTCAAGATAATCGTAATAGAATTTCAAAACCCAAACCTTTTATTTAAAGTAAAATTTATTGAATTATAATTTTGGCTGATAATTCAATCATGATTATCTCGAATTTAAATAATTAGAAATCAATGATATATAGCTCATTAGATCCGTCAAGTCAAATGGTAATTATTTTATAAGATTTAGAATTATATTGACTGATATTATATATTTATATTTTTTTAGATTTTTTATATATGAAAAATCATAATATTTTAACTATTTTGACTTTATGTATAGTTATAACACTTATTTGTATCTTTAAAATATTTTATATATAAAAACTCTAATATATTACAAACTTTAATATTTTATTTATAAAGTTAATAAAAAGTAAAAAGTTGAAAAGAAAAAATTTTTATAAGAAATTTTTAATAATAGATATATTTTTTTTGCATTTGATGTAATTGTAGGTCTTAAAATTAGTAATACAAAAATTATTAATCATACTTGTTTAAAAATGATTATAATACTAATACTTCAAATTTTAATAGTAAAAATAAAAATAAAATATATTATGAATTGAAGAAATAGAAATGTTAGAATAAAGTAAATAATTTTTAAAATCTTTAAAGAAAAAGTTAGAAAGTTAACATAATAAAATAAAAGCTAGTAAATATAACAAAAAATATTATTTAAAATATTAAACAAAAATAGTAACAGTAAATAACAGCAAGGCTTAAAGTTGTATAAATAATGTTTTTAGATAGTAGAGTTTAAAAAATCTGACAAATATGATATTAGATTAAATATTAGCTTCTTCAAAATATACTTTACATTTCATATTAAAGAAAACAAATATATCTGACTAATTGATAATAAAAATGGTACTTAAAAATATCATACATTAATATATAATTAAAATTTTAAAGATATACCTATGAAATTTAAAGAATTTATAAAATAAATTTTTTTTAATTAAATTAGAAACTAATAAGAAAAAAAACTATTAATATTTTAACTATCTTTTGGTTTTATATTCTTAATTTGTTTCTATAATTGATTTTTGAATAAAGTTTTCTAATAGCTAGATTTTTGTAACAAAAAATTCCTCAATCAAAATTTTATAAAATAATTAAAATACATAATAAAATATGAAATTTAAACTAATAAAACCAAAATTTCATGAATATCTAAAAAATATCAATTTGTATATTCTTCATATTTTTACTTTGTGATATTTATAAATTTCTGTATAATTTATATATAATAAGGTTTTAAAATTGTATATTTTAATTGTAATAAAAGTTATTTTTACAAATATTTTAGTCATTTATTTATTTATTATTTTTTTCAACTTATTCTATTTTTGTTAATTCGCTAAAACTTCATTATATTATGCTAAATTTTAAAAAACATATAAAAATTTATTATTTCTAATTTAATATTATTTTTGTTATCTCAGTTTTACAAGTTATGTTATATTGAATAATCTAACTGTAAATAGTTTAAATCAGAGGTAATATAAAAGAATTAGTTAATAGAGAAATATTGTAGAATGAAAAATAACAGGTGGTAAAAATAAAGAAAAAAATTTTTTTTTTAAATCAATGTCAGATTTAATTGAAATTTTCACTTTATTAAATTTATATAGAAGTTTTAAAAATTATATAAAAGCATGTAAATAAATAAAAAAATTAACTTATTTGTGAAAATAGTTATTATTTATTATTATAATTTTTTTTTATTTAATGAATAAATTAATAAAAAAAATAAATACAATAATTTTTTGCATCTGATATATTAGTATAATTATACTAGTAATTATTTTATATGATATTTTAAGATCATATGTATTTTATTTTAATCTATATTAAAAAATAAAATAAAAATAATTAATAAAAAATTATATTTAACATTATTTACTTATTATCTAATCTATACTTTTAGATTTTTTAAAGAAATTTAAAACAGAGATTAAGGATACAATATATCACATTATAATAATTACATAATTAGTATAATAAACAAAATGTTGATTATTTTCAAATTTATTTACGCATAATGCTGACTGAGATTAATTTTTGGCTTACATTAATAACTTAAACTTTATTATAAATTTTATTATTATTATAATTCGTTCATTATTTACATTTTATTACTATTACTATAATAATTGATTATTATTATTATTATTATTATTATTATTATTATTATTACTATTATTACTAAAATTATTACTATATTAATATTATCATATAGGAAGTTTGCTAGGAAAATGGGCTTTGAGCATTTTTTATTAAAATTTTAATATTTATTGCATTTTAATCTAACATTATCAAAAATTAAAATGCAATAAAA